CCTCGGGTTGGATGGATGCAGACAAGTATTGGGGTTACTTGCTGGCAAATGTACTTTGTGTGTCTCTGTATTATGCAAGCATTACTTTCAGGATTTTGTCCTTCTGTCCAACAAAAAAGGTAGGAAATTTGTGGAATGTGCTTTGGATTATCATTAGGACACAGGGTACTTCTTTTGCCCATAACAAGATGGCTTGGCTCAAGAGGAGCTAGATTTTGCCTCCCTAGACCAGATGGATGCAGACCAGAAGAGAACAGTAGTTTCTATGAGCTTGGTTTGGATCTTGATTGGCTAATTTCCTGTCTATAGGTATGTGATGTGATCCCCTTCTTCCTTCTAAAAGACTATAAATCAGAGTATGGGGGCTGGGGAAGAAAGCAAGCTGCTTTTGTCTGCAGTGGAACAGCCTTCATTTGTTACAGACCTAAGACCTAAGAAAATTGCTTTAAGCCCCTTTCCTGGGCTGTGCCTACACGACCTGTGACATTAGATCACTTCTTTCTTTGGCTTAAGCCACAAAAGCTCAGCTCTTCATGGGAATCTACCATATTGAAGATTCCACTCTTGCCAGATTTTTTTCAGCCCTGTATGCGCCTAAATCCACTGAAAAAATAAAAGATGAGCCTTAAAGACAATATAAAAATAATCCTAAATTTTTTTAAGGTCAAAGTTTAGTCAAACCTCTACTTAAATTATTTCTTGTTAACAAAGACTGGCTTAAGGAACAAAATATATGTCCAGTCAAGGTTTATTCAAGAATATTTGGGTTTATGTTCAAGCTTTATCTACATATTATACAGTAATTAAAAGTGACAGACCAGTGTTGCTAACCTTCTTGGGTGTTTAATAACCAATTTGGAGGGCTATACTAATCTGGTCAGAGGGACTTGAACTATTTTTTTAACCCTTGCTCTCCAAGGTCAACTGGAGGTATCTCAAAATGTCCTGTAACTGTGATGAGTCTCCTTTCCTCTTGTTCAGGGAAGCCATGGAGACCCCACCAGATGGTCTCTAACCGGTGTCCAGTCTACAAAAAAAAGATGAAAAAGTTTCCTCAATGCTTCCTAGTCAAGATACAGTCAAGTAAGGCCTTTCATTTATCCTCACATAGGATAGAACTGAAAGAAAGGTCAAAGGAGCCAGAGGCTCCCTCCAAAGCCCAAGTGATCCCTGAGGACCAGATCCTCAACTGACCTTGACAGTAAAAAATAAATAAATTTGGTTCAACTACATAGTTTCAACACCCAACAGGAAAGTAATTGATTTAGGTCAACTGCATGGGTTTAAACACCCAACAGGAAAATATAGCCAAACATTAAAGTAATTGGTATGTTTCTTTAAGAATCCAAGGGATTATATTTCCCAGGCTTAAGTTCATATAAAATGCTATTTAGGCAATTATTCCTCAATAATGATTTTGTTCTTTAAAAAAAAATGCTGCTGAGCTGGGTGTGGTGGCACAAACCTTTAATCCCAACACTTGGGAGGGAAAGGCAGGTGGATCTCTGTGATACAGAGGCCAGCCTGGTCTACATAGTGAGTTCCAGGCCAGCTACAGGGGCTACAGGGAGACCCTAAAAAAAAAAAAAAAAAAAAAAAAAAAAAAAAAAACTGACTTCAAATCTTGGCCTGATTCAGCACTATGGTGCCTACCTGCAGTCAAGAGAAATAAGCCCACTATTGTTCTAAACTATTGCACCATGCTTAACTGTCTCCAAAGATTCTTACAGAATCGCATGAGTGCAGCTGCCTGTATGACTGCCCAATCCACTGTCCAGGTCCAAGTGAAGACTATTTCCTGCTCCATGTCACCAGAGGACTCCCTTAAGCCCCTCTTCCAATGAACCCTGAAACCCCTAGCCCCACAATGAACCCTCTCAGAAGGAAGCAGATGGGATGACTTTCAGCACTCCCACCCCAATCTATTCCTCTTCAGGGTCTGGAATAAAGAGAGGTTGTACACACATAAAAACTGAACAGCCTTAAACCATCACTCTCACTGATGGGCCTTATCAGAGCATTATTAGGCCGTATTTTGAAACTATGGCCCCAGAACATACCACCTCCATAAAGCAAGTCTTGTTCTACAAGCCCTTTTGCTCATATCAGGCCCTAGACCCTTTATAAAACACCAACCCCGTTCTCCACATACGAGCATGCTTAAACTCTCTTGCCACATGAATTGGTGTGGTTGCTGCACCAATTCCCAACAGTCAGTTTCTACCACTCATTGACTAGTAATAAAGGGCAATCTGGATTACTGAGGTTGGTTGTGTCGACGCAAAAGAATAACTCTCACCTCAAAGGGGATAAGAGATAGTTTATTCTGGAGCCAAATATGAGTGACCATGGCCTAGGAACACAGATTCGGGTTACCCCAAATTCCATGCTCCAGTGTGGTAACAGTTGCCTTACATTTTTATAGTAACAGAACAAAGAAGTCATAAATCAAGACACTTTTCAAATACATTGGAGTATACATTCAGTAGGTGGGTCACAGCAATGCAGGAGGGTTCTTACTATAGGTGTCAGATGTTATCTGATGACATTCTTAGCTTTTGGATTTGGGAGACCTGGTGAGCTGCTGTTAATACATTCTAGTAGATTTTTATGTCAGTCACAGGATGTTAGATCAGAAACAGAGGTGGGTAAGGAGTGGCTGTTTAGGGGGCTAAAGGTGGCCCAAGATAAATGGTAATTAGACTCTGGACCTGCAACATTCCAAACTCTCCACAGTCTCCGGAGTGATAATCAGGTGGTCAGCCTTGCAGGAAGTCCAGTCCAAGGTGCAGGAGTTCTTTTGGGAACTTTTCTTTCACAGTTGCTTTCCTTTCCACCCGTGACCCTTTCCATCCCTATTCCTAACAGTTTTGTTTTGTTTTCAGATAGTCTCTACCTCAGACAGGCCTGGAACTCTCTATGAGGCCAAGCATGGCCATGAACTCTCACTCTCCGACCACCACCTCCTGAGTTCTGGGATTACACATATGCACTAGCACAACCAGTTTAAGCAGTGCTCAGGATTAAACCCAGAGCTTGAGGCCTGGTGGGCAAGCATTCTACCAACTGAGCTAAGGCTCTTACTTGTGGTTGGAGTCTGGGCCAGGTATTTTTAGGTTATTGGCCTGTTACCCAAAGAATTGAAAAATAAGGGCTCATGGGGCTAGAGAGATGGCTCAATGGTTAAGAGCACCGGCTGCTCTTGCAGAGGACCCAGGTTTGATTCCCAGCACCCACATGGTGAATAACAACCATCTGTAACTCCAGTTCCAGGGGTCTTTAACTCCCTCTTTTGACCTCCAGAATTGCACAACATGGGTACACTTAGATACATGCAGGCAATATACTTATACACATAAAGTAAAAGTACTAAATAAAATATTAAAAAAGAGAAAAAGAAAAGGACTCACACAAATTTGCAAAAGAAGCAAGATAACTTTATTCAGATCAAAGTGATAGTAAAGATTGAAGGATACACTGTCAAGACTGACAGCTGGTCACATGAGGCTACTCAAGGACCCTGGTTATTGTTTGGGGCTTCCTTTTAAGGGGTTCAAGAGGACCCCTTAAAAGGGGAATAGTTTGGGCGGTCCTCTCTCTTAATTGATATATTAGGTCATCTTTTTCCTTATTGCATATGTCCCTGTCACAATGCATCTGATTTTAGTCATATGCATGCCCAGTTATGCATAGTAATGGTAAATAGATGGTTCTCAATAAAAGGTTACTTGATGACACAGTTTTGTCTTACTGAGCATGCACTCAAAACCAGTTCAGGCTGGATCAGCCTAAACACTTGAATAGGAACTGTATAAACACTTGAATAGAAACTGTCTCAATTTTATTATTTCTAGGGGACAGGACTATTATTCAAAGATAGGAAGGAGTACAAGTGGTCAAATGCAGATGGAGGGTTGAGGGGTTCTGAGGAGGCTGGATGCACTGTTTGGAGAGGGATCTTTGTGCAAAGAACATGTAGCTAAGGGAATTAGGCTGCCAAGTATGTTTACACAAAGGAGGAGGATGTGCCTAAAGCCAAATGGGGGTCCCAAACCAAGTGGCCTCCTTGATTTGCCTGTCTCACTTCTGCTTTTATCACCTTAACTGAGTTGTTTTAAGTAACCCCAAACCTGATTGTGCTGGTTGTAGTTGTCACTGTAGTTGTATTATTTAGTTAAATATTATACCCAGTGGAACAGAAATTCTTTTTCACAGTAATGAGGATGAAACCCAGAATCATGCACAGGTTACCTAAGTGCTGCACCACTGAGCTATGCCCTCCAGCCTGGATGGTAATTTTTTAAAATTATATCTAATTGACAAGAACTATGAATATTTATTATGGACATGATACTTTAAAATCATCATATATTTTAGAATGGATAAATTCAGCTAAGGAACAAATGTATACTATCAATACGTTCTCATCAGTTTTCTTTTTTAATTTATTTTTACTTTTAATTATGTGTATATGTGAGTGTCTGTGTGTGGGTACATGCTCATGTGAGTGCAGGTGCCAACAGAGGCCAGAAGATGGCATCAGATCCCCTGGAGCAGTAGTTAGTTACAGGTGGTTGTAAGCTACCATGTAGGTGCTGGGAATCAAACTCGGGTCCTCTGGAAGAGCAGCAAGTGCACTGAGCCACTTCCCCATCCCCGGGAACCACCTCTTAAAGATTCTACCACTTTCCAACAGTACCACAGGCTAGCATATGGGCCTTTGTAGAACATTCCAGAACCGAACCATAGCCAAAGGTCACCCAATTTGGGAACTATCCAAGCTGATCATGTATAAAACTAAGTTAGGACTTTGAGACACTGACTATCTCAGGCATACATTGCTTGGAGAAAACAAAACCCTCTGGAAATAGCTTAAAGAAATTTACTCAAAGGAGTAGATGTGGTTTCATAGAATCCTGCAGATTCTCATGGGAGTAAAACCCCATCTCAGACTCCAGCTCTACATTGCCTCCATCCCATTCTGTTCCCAGCAGACATAGCTGTTCGTGGAACCAGAAAACCAAACAACAGTCTCAGAAATCCATCTCATGGGCATCTCAGAGGATCCAGCACTGCAGTGCATCCTCTTTGCACTCTTCCTGTCCATGTACCTGGCCACTGTGCTGGGGAACCTGCTCATCATCCTGGCTATCATTTTGGACTCCCACCTGCACACACCCATGTACTTCTTCTCCAACCTGTGCCTGGTTGACATCTTTTTCTCCTCTACCACTGTCCCCAAGATGCTGATGAATATCAAGACACAGAACAGACCCATCCCTTTGGCTGACTGTGTGACCCAAATGTATGCCTTCCACCTCTCTGGCACCAGGAACAGCTTCCTCCTGGCTGTGATGGTCATTGACCAGCTGGTGGTATTGTCCACCCACTTTGTTACTTGGTGCTCCTGAGCCCATGTGCCTGTGAGCAGCTGGTCACCAACCTCCATCCCTGGTATACACCTGCCTCATAGCCCAACTGACCTGCTTTGATTCCAAGATCCCTCACTTCTGTGACCTCATTCTTCTGCTGAAACTCTCCTGCTCAGACACGGACACCAATGAGCTGGTGAGCCTGGCTTCTGGCATCATCACGGGCCCCTTGTCCTGCAGGCCGCTCTCTTACATCTTCATTTGCAGGACAGTCTTTCAGATCCCTTCTCTGGGCAGGTGGAAAGCCTTCATTTGTGGCTCACACCACAATGGTATCACCATTCTATGGGACCATCTTCGCTCTGTACATATAGTTGCTGTCATCTACCTCCTCCCAGAAAAAACAAAGCAGCTGCATAGATGTATGGGGAGGTCATCCCTATGCTGAATCCCTTTATCTACAGCCTAAGGAACAAAGACATGAAGGTAGCCCTGAGGAAGCTTGATGGCAAAGCAGCCTCATCCTGGTCCTAGGGCAGAATGGTGGCTGAGTGCTCACTACCGTCCAGGGCCACTCTTAGGTGACTGGGATCCAGAGATGAAAGCCAATATAGCTCTTGAGTTATCCAAAGTCTAGCATGAAATAGAGACACCTAATAAAACCTTATAGTACAATGTGCTAAATATGTCATAAAGAAATAAATAGGGGCTTGAGAGATTAAGAGCATTAAGAAATTGCAGAGGACCTGAACTTAGTTCCCAGCACATGTAGGACAGCTTACAACTTGCTATAACTCCAGTTCCAGGGTGCCCAATACCCTCTTCTGACCTCCATAGACACCTGCACATACATGTGCACATACACACACAGGCACACATACACATAATAAAAATCATAAAAACCAATCCTTAACTGATGAATGCAGTCCTTTGGGGAGCTCAGGGGAAGTCGTCATTTTTCTCTAATTTATTTTCCCATGGAAAAACAGAGAAGCACTTGGACATGGTATTACACACCTACATTCCTACAGCCTGGGAGGCTGAGGCAGAAGGATCATGAGTTCCAAGCCAGCCTGGGCTACATAGCAAGAACAAGGGATGTCTCAAATAAAACAAGTATTGAGTGGCAGAGGGCTTGCCTAGCATGTGCAAAGGCCTGGGTTCCATCCTCAGCTCTGCTCCTCACCTCCACCTGAAAAAAAAAATCAAAAAAGTAGGAAAAACTTTATACTGGTTTTAGATTACCCTCCTCTGGGATTTTAGAGTTATGTGAAGGTCACATGGATAGTACTAGTTGCACAAAAGATATGGCTTCACCCACTTTTTACAGTTAGTTAGTTAGCTAGTTAAGTTAGTTGTTAGTTGTTACTTACTTAATTACTTAGTTACTTTAGTTAAGGGAGGGAGGGACATTTGCCAGAGTGCACTTGTGGAGTCAGAGGACAACTTGCAGAAGTCAGTATGGTTTCTGGGGATTGAACTCAGGTTGTCAGGCTTAGGGGCAGACAACTTCACCATATTGTATGCATGTTTTTATGTATATGTATGGGCATATGTATGTATATGTGGTAGCACATATGTAAGTCAGAGAATAGCCTGCAGGGGTCAGTTCTCTCCTTCTACTCTGTGGATCACAGGGATTGAACTCAGATTAGGAAGTTTGGCAAGCACCTTTATCCACTGTGACATAGACTGTCCTCCAAAAGACAGACCATGGACATCAGATGCCTTCTTTCCAAGCTTGATTGCACCCTCCTGCCCAGGGATCATCACAAACAAACCTGACTATTGATGCATCCCAAGAAAAGAGGAGCTGGGACAGTCAGCCACACCTCTCAATCAACCAGTTGGCCCAAGTTGCACAAGGGGGAGGGACTAAGGGTATCTAAGCTGAGGAAGCCAGTAGAGAAGGGTGCTCTAGACATTTTGGACAGCTGCCCAAAAGTCAGGGTCTGAATGGAGACTTTCCAGTGTGGCCTTGGGAGGGTACCCACACTCCTGTAAGTAACCCCTCACCCACTGCTCTGTAACTTAAGCCCAAATAAACTTGGTGATTATACAAAATGTAGTTTGGAGGAATTAGACTTGAGTTTGTTATAAGAATGGATGGAGGAGGGGGCCTGACTTCATCTGCACCTCCCAGAAGGAATTTTAGCAACACCCACTGAGCCAACTTGTTGACACTATACTCACTTTGGTATGGACAAAAGTGAGTGAAAATGGTAGTTCAGGCCTGTAATTACAGCTACTAGGGAGACTGAGGCAGGAGGATAACAAATTCAAGACCTGCCTCAGCTACAGAGGGAATTCAAGGCAGCCTAGACAACTTATCAAAACTGTCTCAAAATAAAAAGTATTTAAAATACTAAACATAGTTCTGTGGTAGAGCACTTGCCTAACATGTATAAGGCCCTGATCAATCCTAGTATTGCAAAACAAAGGAACATATATATGTATATATATATGTGTGTGTGTGTGTGTTATGGCATCCATGAACTATATATACATATATATATATATAGTTTTT